CCCGGTGTTCAGGTTCTGCTTGGTTACTGACGGCTCAATGAAACACAGTCTTCACAGATACAGTTTACTGGGAGAGGTTTGTACAGTGGTGCAGCAGGAAACAATCTGCCTCACAGCTCACAGGGTAAAACACATGTTCAGGATACCTCGTGCTATGTCATCTAACTACTCAGACATCCAACTTCATTCACACCGCTAGGTGGCAGCACTCATGCACACGTCAATCACGACACTAGAGGACAGCACTCGTTCACACGCTCATTCACGCCATACAGCGGTTCACTCGCTCGACTCGTTCGCATTACATAAGCACCACACACCCAGGTGGGCTAATCCGTGCAAAAAATATATAAATAAATAAATAAATAAAATGCATAAGAGTCTTCTCCTCCTATAGACATGATATAACTAGGTGCTGCAAATGAACTCTCATTACTACAGCTCTACTCAGTGGGGTTCACCTGCAACTTACGGTTATATAGTTACCCTTTCGATTTCCACACATGTAGTATAGACTTTTAACTTCCTCCAGAATGGGATGGTTACGTTCAGTCAGCAGCGGCCAGAGCAACAATATCTTCCACTGGCCCTCGGATTCTTGCCATGTACAATGAAAGAAAAAAGTCGTGTCGTGAAATTTGGTGAAAACATATGCCGAAGGACTAAACTTTTGGTGCGCTCCGCCTTGTGGTAGGGCCTCTCATAATGTTTCACGAGTTATATTTAATCGATTTACAGTGGACTTTGAACTGCATCGTCGGCAGGGCGTAATCCTGTTAACAACCTTCGTACCATCTGGGCTACTACTACTGATGAGCTGGTCAACACTCTTTGTTAAGCTGGAGGCGTTCATGTCTCTCACTACACTACTTGTCCTCTACACACTCTTCACCAATATATACAGATCTCTTCCCAACACAGCCTCCATCAAGCTCATAGACGTCTGGTTCTTCTTCATCATATTCGTTCTTTTCACTAATATTGTTACCCATGTTTTCGTATATCGTGAAAATCCAAAGAAAATCTCTGAGAAAATCTGTGCAAAATCATCGCAAACCACTAGAGAAAACACAACCTATCTGCCTCAGATTTCTCAAGTACTATAGACTCGTAATCCTTCATATTTGGGTGGTTCTGTTCAACATTGTTTTTTGGTCTGACGTCTTTCCACAATAGATGTAATTTGTACGTTTATACCTTACCACTAAGAACATATATATGTGTTATTTAATTAATTCTCACAAGTAATATGTACAGTGTTTCCGATGAGATAACAACGAAAATTTGTGATAATCAACGAAAAACATGAAATTTTCTGATATATCTATTTTGTACATGGTAGAGGCATTTTTTTTTTTTTTTCATTCATGTTTCTTTATTGTGTAGTGTATAGTTAACAGATTTGCCTTTCTCAGTATCTCTGCGTTACCTAACTCTAGAGGGAGCGTAACTAAACATGTCACTGGTAATGTCACTGTAAGTCTTCTGCTTCTGATAATGAAAGAATACTGAAGATAAAAGTAAATCGTGTTTACCACATTTTTGTGGAATATATTCTTGGGAAATGATAATTGGTCTGCGGTCACGCAGTTAGTGTTATACTCTGGTTGGTATAAACTACAGTATAAATAGTCTGTTTTTCTTTTATGTCTGTCAGTGTTCATATATTTTTTTTAATATTATTTAAAACTGGCGGGGAGGTAATTTTCACGTGGTATTTTATTTACCCTATTGCTTTTTTTAAACATGAAATAATAATCTGTACTCCAACGTGTCATTTTTTATTCTAATGTACTTGTGAACAGTTGAACAAGAGTTATGTTAAGAGGAGATTACCTAACATACTTCAGCTGGCTGAATATGATGTTTGGATTTCACAGTGGGGCATTACTTCTTAGAATCTGTTGACCCAAGTGATACTTTGTTTCTCTCGTGAGGGTCACCAGCACCAGCACCACCAGTAAGCTGACTGGAAGACCTCTTATGTATCACCAGTGCCCAAGTCAACCAGCCCACAATCCTTAAATCAGCTACGACCTATTGCAATCACCCCAATACCCAGCCTAATCTGTGAAAGTTTTGTGTTTGACTGGGCTTATGCTGATATTGCAGGAGTCGTAGACCCTCAGCAATTTGGCAACATGAAAACTTCCTCCACCACTCACTGTCTTGTCAGCTTTCTCGATTACATATACCGCCATCTCGAGAAACGAAAAACGTCTGTAGCTGTCGCCTTCATTGATTTCACTAAAGCGTTCGACCTAGTCGACCACAATATAATCATAAACAAAGCTATTGACCTCGGGCTTCGGAGAAATCTCATACCATGGCTTACAGACTTCCTCAGTGACCGACGCCAAGCTGTACGCTTCCGAGGGGCTGTCTCCACCTTTCAGTCACTCACCTGTGGCGTCCCCCAAGGCACCAAGATGGGACCACTCTGCTTCCTTATGCTCATCAATGATGCCCTAAGAGAAACCCCTGCTCGCTGGAAATATGTCGACGACTCCACCATTGGGATCAGCGTCAACAATTCTGCTCCCAACTATACCGCCCTTCAGGATTTATTGAACAGTCTCCAAAACTGGGCCACCAACAACCATGTCACCATCAACCATACCAAGACCATGGTTATGCACATCAACCTCTCCTCCGACATTGTCCCACCTCCTCCATTACCCTAGGTCCGAACACACTCCAGGTTGTAGATTCCACGAAGCTCCTCGGCGTCACCATAGACAACAAACTAAATTGGAAACCACACGTCAGTGAAGTTGTCAAATCCTCCAGTTTCCGTCTCCACCTCCTCCGCCGACTCAAGTCCCTCGGAGTTCCTGCACACGAGCTCCTCAGTGTATACACAACATTCATACTTCCCAAGCTCACCTATGCCTCCCCCACCTGGTCTTCCTCCCTAAATGCCACACAACGTAAACACCTAGAAAAAGTGCAAAAGAGGGCATGCAAGATTATTCTCTCCCCTTCCTACTCCACATATCAAGAAGCGCTCAACACACTGACCCTTTCGACTCTCACTGACCATCACCACGACCTCATCTGCAAATTTGGTAAGAAGCTTCTACACCATCCCCGACACCGGCCCTACTACCACCTGAGATCCCCTGTCCGAGAATTGCTGTTCGACACCACAACCGCATCCAGCCCATACGTGCACGAACTGATCGCTATAAGAACAGCCCAGTCCCAACCATTGTAAAAATTATCAATAACATGTAATAAATCAGTGTATTCACTCCCAGTAAACACTGCTCCCTACACTGTCACTATGTTGAAATGAACTGTAGTTTGAACTGTAGTTTGAGCTGATCCCCATCTAAGTTACTATATGTCTTATTTGTGTCACTTATGTCACTTGTATATTATTTGTAATTCGTAACCCATTCCCCAAATATGTAACTGTATATTTTCAGCCTTCTGGCTGCCAAGCTCTTTCAATAAACCGTTAATTATTATTATTATTATTATTATAAGTAACTCGCCTCCTCCCTAATGGATCTAACAGCAGTTCCAGCCAAACACGGAGGGCAAATATACACAACTACAGTTTCTGACTTATACTTCGCGAATCTTACGAAACATTTTAATACGTTGCTATTCCCAGGTAAAAAAAAACACAACAGCAGCACAATATCTTCATGTGTATTATAGTGTAAGTATCGATGATTCGCACTCATGACGACACACACATGGAATCTGATTTTCAATGTTTAATTTTCATCTTTGTGATAATTATTCTACATGAAACTGAATCGTCTACCTATACTGTACCTAAATTCTGGGACTAAATGGTCTGAAAAGAAAGTTTAACTAGAAATATTAATTTCATTTTATTGGAATGTCAGATATGTGTCCAGTACATGACCCGTCCGATAGCGTTCACAATTACAAATAACTCGTTTTGGTTATAAAGACATGAAGGATCCTGGATGGGAGAAATAGAACATGTTTCTACTTGGTCATTATCTTTACTCGATAACCCTAAATGATACCTATATTTAAGGACGTTGCAATAAACATGAACCAAAATATCAGTGAGGGATAATATACAGTAGTCGAATCATTACGAGGAACTTTTAGGGATCAAAATTGGGATAATTATGCTACCCTTTATTTTTATGTCTGGGCTAGAAGATTTCCAATTTCAAACAAACTAAAAATAAAAATAAAAACATTAAATAACAGAAACAAATCAATGAGAACAGCACAAACTTCATGTTAATTTACTCTCGGTTTCCTTGAATTTATCCTCTGGGGGGATCCACGGTGACAGACACCATCACTCACTTCATTTACAGGAGTGGGGCGTGTAAAAGGTGTGTGAGGTTAACAGGAGGAGTGTAAGAGGTGTGTGAGGTTAACAGGAGGAGTGTAAGAGGTGTGTGAGGTTAACAGGAGGAGTGTAAGAGGTGTGTGAGGTTAACAGGAGGAGTGTAAGAGGTGTGTGAGGTTAACATGAGGAGTGTAAGAGGTGTGTGAGGTTAACAGGAGGAGTGTAAGAGGTGTGTGAGGTTAACAGGAGAAGTGTAAGAGGCGCATGAGGTCAACAGGAGGAGTGTATGATGCGTATGAGGTCAACAGGAGGAGTGTATGATGCGTGTGAGGTTAACAGGAGGCGTGTAAGAGGTGTGTGAGGTTAACAGGAGGTGTATGAGGCGTGCAGGGGTTAACAGGAGGAGTGTATGATGCGTGTGAGGTTAACAGGAGGAGTGTAAGAGGTGTGTGAGGTGTGTGAGGTCAACAGGAGGAGTGTAAGAAGTGTTTGAGGTCAACAGGAGGAGTGTAAGAGGCGTGTGAGGTCAACAGGAGGAGTGTAAGAAGTGTGTGAGGTCAACAGGAGGAGTGTAAGAGGTGTGTGAGGTTAACAGGAGGAGTGTAAGAGGTGTGTGAGGTCAACAGGAGGAGTGTAAGAAGTGTGTGAGGTCAACAGGAGGAGTGTAAGAGGTGTGTGAGGTCAACAGGAGGAGTGTAAGAGGTGTGCGAGGTTAACAGGAGGAGTGTAAGAGGTGTGTGAGGTTAACAGGAGGAGTGTAAGAGGTGTGTGAGGTTTAGAGGATGAGTGTAAGAAGTGTGTGATGTCAACAGAGGGTGTATATGAGATACTCCAGTAAGAAGGTAAGGAGGCCGATGGCGTAACCAAACACCAGGAAGTAGAAGGTAACTTGCAAGTGGTGGAGCCCCAGCACCACCTGCTCTCCATCGTTCTGAAGGTTAAGAAATATAACATTTTAATGACACGTTAACTTCTATTTTAGACACTTTTTAATTGTATTATGGTTTAAGAGGGGAACAAACGACAGGTGTTCCTCTTGAGGTCAATTTAGATTGATAAGTTATATCCTCGAACTATTCTTACTTCGTACATCTTGGATAAGTAAGTCTAAGTTGTATGACTTAACATTACTATGCAGTGAGTGAGTGTATCTCCGTTCTATAAATAAGTGTGGGATGAAAGATTCAGAGAGTGTGATTACCTAACTTGTAACTGTACCTGCTTAAAGACCTAAAAAGCTTTGATGTTGAAGCGCAATAATAACATTATACCATTAACAACCACATGAAAGAGAATTCCACAGATAAGAAAAGGTGAAATTTTGATTAAGTTCGATTACATAAATCTAGCATGGGGTAGAGGCGGATAAGGTGGCATGATGATAGAAAGAAGTAGGATAATGGAGGTGCTGGAACTTTGTTTGGCTTTAGAATGGAAACAGCAGAAAATATCATATGGGTATAAAATTCATATGGTTGTATAGGATGAGAAGAATCTGGTCTTGGGCTAAGGTGATGGTTTTCAATATATCAGTGTGGATGAGAGGCGGTATGACGAGGTTAGAGAAGAGGAAACATGATGACTGAGGACGATGATGGACTGTACTTATATTAAATGTGGACAAGTCGGCTATTAATAAACTGTAATTGAAGGATTGGATAGCTTGAGGTAATTTGGTTGGATGACTGAGTGTTTTCTTAGCAACAAGGAGATTTCCTATCTTACTATTGACTAGCATCATACAATTGAATTGGGGAAAATTACAACATACAAGTACATTTAGCAGCTTTATGTAGCAGAACTAAGGAAGCACCGGAATTTAGTTCCGGCCGGTTGATTCCGCCCGGAACCTCGATATTTATAAAGTTTCGGTTCCGGCCGGAATTTGGGTAAAATAACTTTTTATAATGGTGCTGGTTGATATTACATAAATTAGAGTATAATTCATTTTAATGCTTCTTATTCCTAATGGATAATGCTGCATAAAAATACTGAATAGTTAATGAATATTGATGTATATGTACAGCAAAAAAATTTGTACATCTTAAATCATATTTATTATACTGTATATTTCACCGTGCTACAGAATGGATATAGAATCCCAAGAAAAAATTCAAAGGAGAATGACAAGACTAATCCCGGGCATTAAAAACTTTAAGCACAGAGACAGGTTAAAACACCTTAATTTGTACTCCCTCGAGAGACGTGGAATGAGGGGCGATATGATCGAGGTGTATAAATGGAAATCAGGTCTAAACAAAGGTGATATAACAAAAGTACTCAAACTATCCAACCAGGAGCGAACTCGTAACAATGGTTTTAAATTAGACAAATTTAGATTTAGGCGCGAGATAGGTAAACATTGGTTTGGAAATAGAGAAGTGGATGAGTGGAATAAGTTACCAAACATCATCATTACCTTGAATACGCTGGATAGCTTCAAACATAGGTTGGGTGGATATAATGAACGATCGGGGTTGGGTGTAAACGAGGTTGCCCAGTATGGGCCATTAGGCTGCAGTTTCCTCCATCCTTATGTTCTTATATTGATGTATTTAATGTATAGAAAATCAAAATATGTATAATTATATATAATGATGATATATTATCTTCAATAAACTATAATACCCCAAGTTTTCGGTTCCGACTGAAACTTTCGGCCGGATTATGTTAAAAGTTCCGGTAAGTTCCGGTTCCGGCCGGAATTTGATATTATGGTTCCGGTGCATCCCAGGTCAGAATCTAACTGGATGAAGTTTGGAATAGTCAGTAGCTCTTAGGTAAGGCACAGACTTCACTAATTACTAGTAATATCCGAGCTAGATGACTCCGTGTAGTTGTAAGTGGGCAAGTGGGCACTGAGAAGACTCAGTGTTTTAAAGTAACAATGTGTGCGAGTTTCACTGTATGTTCAAGTCTCATCTGGGGCGTCACACCACAATTGCATTACTTGATAAATAGTGTTATCGTCTTTCTCCTGGTTCTTCCCGGCCTCTTCCTCCTGCTGTTGTCGTCTGGTGTTCCTCACGCGGGTGGAGATGACGTCATCCATCCAGTACTTGATGAGACCAGCTTCCAGTAGTCGCTGTATGGCTAGGTCGAGACGACGCAGGAACGGTGCCACCTTCCTGTCAGAATTGTTCGAACTTAATTCCAAGAGTTTTGTCTTTATGATTAAAATTTAAATATTCTTTTCATATACTTATTTCAACTAAAGAAAGTTAAACGAGAAATCTCCATGACTGTAGAAGTGCAAGTTACTGCAGTGTCATGTTATAAATATTATAATGGTTGCCCCTCGTGCAACAAGGATGGCCGGCCCAGGGGCCACCAAGACATGAATTTGTTTAAGGTGTAGAAGCTGTCGCCAACACAACAGCATGACCCGGTGTCAAGGAACAGTCCGAGAAGACCGGACAACTCACCAACTGCACAGGCTAACCATTATCCCGGAACACGATCCGTAAATCGATTAACATCCAGGTTCCAATTACTGCTGGGTAGGCAGAGGCAAATGGTGTAAAGAAACTTGCCCATAGTTTCACCCTGCCCGAGGATCGAACCCGGGTCCTCTGGCTTGCGAGGAGAGCATGCTGACCATTACATGTGGAGTGAAGGTCAGTGTCACTTACTTTGTTCAGATTACAAACTTGTGAAATGCTTTTATAGCTATAACTTATTCTATTATTATTTAATATCGTCTCGCCCATATATTACAGAAGGGTAACATTTAAAACACTTAACATTCACATTATTTTTGAGGCCAATAAATTTTCTTTTTGAGACAATAGGAAACATTACATATTCAACACCCACCTGAATGCCCAAGCATTACCAGCAAAAAGTGGGTATTCTGTGGCGCTGATGTGGATGGGCGTGTAACCCAGCTTGTCGGTGTAACGGGTGGCGACCATCGTCTTGGAGTAGTACTCACTGTAGATATAAGAGTGGCCGCCCTTCAGCACTAGTTCCATGCCCTTCTCAAAACTCTCAGCCTGTTGTAAGTGGTTGAAATTTGTATAATGCTCTTTCGTTAGATAGAGTCTACAAAAACAAATACCGCCTTTTTTGTCTTCACATTGTCACCATTTGAGTTAGGATGATGTATGCGTAGCATTTCTTCTTCTATCGATACACGAAAATATGTTCTGAAAACAGCTGTTGGTGAAGGAGGTGACGTGTAGAAAAAAACAGAATGTAAAAATAATTAATAATTCAGAGTAATTCAAAGTTGAAAAGGTAGCTGTTTATAAGAAGCTTGAGTCATATCCGACTCATACCTGCATGCCGAGGTACATCTTCTGGGTGGCTGGGTCAGGGCTGCTCTTGAGGTAAAGGAGGAGAGCGCCCGTCATACGCCGTGTCATCCAGCGCCACCCATCCTGCGCCACTAGGTCATCTACACTGTTGATGGCCGGGGACTTCCGCTGCACCACCAGGTGAGAAATGAGTGACGACCTGTAGGCGGACGTCATCACAAAGCTGAACACCAGCCACCACCCGACCAGTACCTGTAAACACGTGACACCAACACCACCAAACAAATAAATCATAAACAGTTCTTCATTATGCCATAAGCTTAAGATATAAAAATAACACTAAAGTCAACAAAGGAAAACCGGGTCCCGGATTTTCAGAGCTTCGTGTCACAATTTTTCCTCTTAACTGGGAAAGTTAGAAAACATATAACTGGTCCATCAAGATACAGCAAAAATAACCTCCTCCATAATAACGTCTACTTACTCTGAGAATTCACTTTAACTAATTTAAATCATTTTACACCAATTAGGAGACAAAATAAACAGAAAGAATCTTTAAAAATCATAGACTAGTACTGCAGGTACTGTACCTGAGCAGTGATGTTGTTGGGAGGATCAGCTGGTGGGTCCTCCAGTATGACGCCCCAGCTGTAGAAGAGGGCAGAGGTGAGGGTGAAACTCCGCCCACCTGACGCCCATGACCACACCTTCTGCAACAACCACAGTGTCACGCCCCACATGAAGATGCCCACCAGCAGGATGAGCCACAGCTCACCTAGAGGGATGGATAAATGTAAAAAGGTAGTGATGCAGTCACCTTATTATTCCCTTCTTTCTAACTTTAAAATTCGACTGGCTACCCCTCCTTGTTTTACTTATTTTACTTCACCTTTTGCTCCTTACAGATGGCTACTTCCCTTCCCTCGCAGCTATATGTGACAAGCTGTCTACCTGTAATTACCTATATTATCACCTACGTACTGTACCTAGAATTATTCTTATATACATATATGAATTTTTCCGACTATCTACCCTTACCAGGCCTTACCATTGTGTTCCTCGGCCACTTACCTACAAATGGACGAATGAGTGACAGGTATTCTGGTAAAGGTTGTGGCTTCAAGGACAAAATGATCACTGACTCATCAATATATACCCGACAAAAGTGCACCACGGAGGCTCTTTCGGTCGTGACGGTGAGGTCAAGGGAAAAATCTGCCTTCTCGTATTGGAGGTCCCCTACGAGGCCGGTGAAGTTGCCGCCTTCTGCTGGTAAACCCCACTGCCGATCTAGTGGTTCCCTGATGTCATAACTGGGAAGAATAGGCCTGACTTATCTTTAATTCCAAATTGTCACACTAGCTTTATCATTATTCTATACTATTATGATACCACACTGTAACATGATTCTACAATATGTTATGATTCTACACTGTCTTTATCATGATTCGACACTGTGTTATGATTCTACACTGTATCCATGCCCTCTACAGACTCCCCTTATATCTTTACTAGTCAAGACCATAAAAATGACAGTCCTTACCTACAGTATACTCCCTGATGACGTCACACGCAAGACGTAAGATTTAAATACGGTGATCATATCGAAGATCGTAAGTGGAATTAAAGCGTATGTAAACACCCAGAAGATAGTTCTTGATAATGTAGTGCATAGGTATATCCAGAAGATTCTAAAGTGCATAGGAACACTAAGAATTTTGTACGTGATTCTGAAGTATAAAGGAACACCCTGATTATTGTACGTGATTCTGAAAAACTGTCCACAGGAACACCCAAAAGATCGTTCGTGAACTCCTGCCCCTAGTGTGACCCTGAAGTGCAGACAAAAAAAAAAGAGATAACGTACGTAAAGTTGAGGTAGGAAGCCATGGCGTGGATCATACGACTGTCGAGTGAGTCTTCCAGGAAAACCCGAGTACTCCCTGGCTCCTCGCTCTCCCTTTCCGTGCTGATGTAGGGGAAGTAACTCTTGGTGACGATCCTGAACTGCCTGCCCATGAAGTTTTCAGGCTGGTCTAAAGTGCCAGTAGAGAGCTAGATTATGGTGATAGTAGTGAACAATAATTAGTCAGAACTGGATTCAGATCTTAAAAAAAAGTATTTTGTATTATTTGTATTGATACTGGTGTGTATGGGTACATATACAAGTAATAGGTGTAGTAATTTAGTATTAACACCCACCGTTATCGGATAGTTTAAGTGGAATTTTAAACAGCGAAAATTAACCTTGGAAATATTATTTTAACAGAAGAATGTTTAATTGTGAATGGGTGCATTTGTGTGTCCCAGAATCTGGGTCTTGTGGGTAAGTGATGCGAGGCACTGGCTTAGACATCTACCAAAGGTTATGACTTATAAGACATCTCGTTCTGAGGCTCACCATAGAAAAAGTGGAGGCCGCTGGGGACACCAATAGTGAGGTCCCAGAGGTACAGCAGCTGCGCGTCTTCCTTCCCGTTGTTACAGTACATACACCGTCGGTACACCTCCACACTCTCACTCCCTGTTGACATTTGTCTTCAAGTGACGGTTTCGCTTACTTTTTATTTACCACAAACATAAGATATTAATCCACGTATAAATATATGCATGCACAAAATTTTACGCTAACATCAGCATAAACTGTGTGGCAGCAACAACATATTTTTATAAGTCATCGTTGACCTGCAGCAATATGTGTTACCTTCATCAGGTCTTCTCTTCCTAATATTAGTGTCAGGTGTGACAACATAACGACTAAGGTTGAGGAGAGCGAGGTACAGGGCGTGGTTAGTGTTGCGGAGGGCGTGGTGAAGGAGGAGGGTCTCCACGCCAGACTTCACACCCACAACTACCACGCGGGTCTCCGGCCTCAGCCACAGCCTACACCGCTCCAGGAACCTGTCACCGAGTTGGCCAGATTGAGTGTCTTCACTGAGCACGAATGAGTTTATCAATAATGGTGACTCAGCAGTATCCATCTACATATTGACAAGTTTTGAACTCTTTCAGGGATTCAACTATCTTTTCATAGAAAAACTGACGAGTCTCCCTCAGCGGGTTCCGAGCACAGCACCTCTTTCAGGAGTTGGAGGAGCTTCAACAGTTACGTTATTTAAAAGTCATTAAAAGGGCTCTATGAAGGTGTTTTTTTTTCAGGGGAAAAGATGTCAGCGCTTATCAAAACAAATATTTCAGAAAACTCCCGACAGAGTATGTTAAGAACAGCGACGCTTTAACAAAAATATAAAAAATAAATAAATAAATAAATAAATAAATAATAATAATAATATAGTAATAATCCAAAGCCTTACTTTTTATGTGTTAAGTACTGTATATGTGATAAATATCATCTTTGCGCTTAGAGAAGACGAAACAAACCATTCTATATATCCTAATCTGACTAATCTAATCAATTAACTGTCATCTAACCTAGCCTAACCTAACCTATTTACCTCCAGGACGTTGACGTAGTTTAGGTGAATTATGTTCTTTCAGAAAAGATCGTATCGATCAATGGTCAAGATACACAAGCTGGCGTGATCTCATCGCTCACCAACTCAGTTCATGTTATAATTTTTCTCTAAGTTTCACCAAAGATAAAACAAATACTCAAATTGTAAAGTAAGGGAATTTCTGATAATTAATAACTGACACATAAGTTGGAGATTTTTTTTTTTTTTTATTAAGTAAGAGTTTCCGTTCATAAATAACTAAATTACACACATCTGGCTCCGCATACTATGTGATCCCTGGAGCTAATGCTTCACAAATATTGATACTTCACTGGAATTTATATTCAGTAAATATTAGGACCCACGAAAATAATAATTCAGAATTATCTTAAGCCTCCAGAACAAATATTTCAGAACTATCTGGACAAAGATTTCGAAAAAAATGGACTTCCCACAACACCGTATTTCTGATACATTTAATGGCCTCGGGAACTAGTTAAGAGGAAAACACTCGTTCAACTGGAATTAAATGAACGATGTGTTATGGTGATATAAAGATGGTGAACAGTATTAAAAAATAAGTGCTAATAAAATAATGGGAAGCATAAAAATCTGTGAAACCGAAGATACTGGCCAGGAAATTTATAATCTAAATATAATTAAAAAGAAAACAACGTACTGTATATAATATTATATAAACTAGGGAAATCGTAATGAGAATACTTGCTGGAGATGAGACAGAGCTGGAGAAGATTCGGTAATAAAAAGGAACTTTACTGCAATGGGAAATGTGAATAAATACGTGAATGAAAAGATAGGAATAAAATTAATATTTGGGGTCATAGCAGACAATGACACACGAAACAAGATGTGGGTTGTGTACTGTCGTGGGTTATGAATATATGTGTATGTTGCACCTGACGATGGAGTGACTCTCTCTGGCGGTGTTGTCTAGGATGAGAACGTGGCAGGAGAGAGTGGCATCACCCCACAGCCCCTGCAGGAGGTGGCGCTCCTCATGAGTTGGCTGGTCCTGGGAGAACATCACCGTTGTCTCTACCACAACCGCAGTTTCCATCTCCGCCGCCAGATGTCTTTAGTGTACACAATAATAAAGAAGAACACTGAACCTTACTGCCTCCACATATATGATGGAATTATAAGTAAAGTACTGAAACAATTTTACAGAAATTAAAAAAATTATTGCAATTATCGCTATGACGCCAACAATGATTGTTATAATATAATTAAATTTCATATATTTCTCATAATTTTATCACGAAAGTTTTCATGAAAGAATTAGATAAATAGAAACAAAATATAATTACAAAATGATAAATTATAAGATATTTTACGCGCACATACTGTGTATTAACTTTTTTAGACTGGTGAAGATACATTTGGAATTCCTGGAGTAAAGACAAAGAAAGTGAGGAATAAAAATAATACTCCCAGGTCGAATAACCCGAATTTTTACTACATTCGAATATACGGTACGGATCTGTCAGAGCCGGAAAACAAAACAAATAGTGCTCCAAGATAATAAGAACTCACCTGATTATTTGTGAGTAAACAGGGGAGTGTTTTGTTGTGGTGGCCAACATTAGGTGACACCCAAGCAGGTGTTCCCTCACCACCTGGCTCACCATCATGCCCAACTGTTCATCAGGACGACCCTCCACCGGCACCTCCCAAGCTACGCCCACCAGCAGGTAAACCAGCGAGGCAAACGATGAGTGTTTCATTTTTCTGGAGATAAATTAAACATTGATGATTCATTGTTTCATTGTAGCGTAAGAGAGAACTTTCTGGCTACAATGAATTAACACCCTGATTAAGATATATCAAAGCTTACAAGTACTGACTATATCTCTTGCCTACGGTGTCTCAGGCTTTTGTATACGATGACCTATTTCCTCGAGTGCGATGATAGTGTACTCAGTGGGTTGAGTCATTGTAATCAAGGGACTGATAGGTAGAAATACGTTATGAAATATACCTTAGTCAAACATATCGTATTTTTAGATAATATTCACTTTTTTTCGACACTGTGACAATAACAAAAGCAAACAATATACAATTCTAAAAAAAGGTAAAAACGATTAAAAGAAATATACCCTGAGAGAAAGTTGATAGGGGAAAATACATGTTAATGAGGTATGCCAATGAAAAATATAAATGATTGTTTTAAGCCAATGGACAAAGGATAAAATAAATAAATCGTCTTCTATGACTCCGGCGTAACGAGAGAAGCATACACAACTTAATAACAACTTGACGTAAACAATATTATCATTGAACAAACGTTAAGCTTAAAAATTAAAAAAAAAATTAAAAATTATATGATTGAAACATGGGGAAAGTGCAGCTAGAATATTTTATGGTAACATCGAGATGAAGTAGTGAGAGGGAGAGGGTGGAAGAGGAAGGGGGAGGGGTAGGGGGGAAAGAGGGTGAAGGTGGGAGGGGAGGAAGAGGGAGAGTGAAGGGAGAGGGGAATAAATTCCGATGTGTCGTGCTATAAAATGCAACTGTAGTGTGTAGGCATGTCATTGATAAAGCCATAAAATCTAAACGACTTTTATGCGTAATAAGAACACCATCTTGTTTTTATTGGAAACCGAACAAATTATTAATTATATAATTTCCTCCATTATTCAGGTCAGGTTAGGTTAAGTTGGGTTAGGTTTGGTTAGGTTAGGTTAGGTTAGGTTCGGTTAGGTAAAAATATTCCAGGATTTGTTGGAAGCTTAAAAATCTGATTAAATTACATTATAGTTATCTAGTGAGAGATTTAAATTTTTCTGGTTTCGTTTTTCCTCTATTTATTCAATTTCTTTCACAAAATCTTATGAACACTAGCGACTAACTGTAATGTTGCAGTGTGGGTGATAACACACCTGTGCACTATCACCTGTCAAACTTTTCAATACTACCCTGCTTCAGGTACTTTACTTATTTATCTATTTATCAAAATAGTTCTTACTTTCCATTTTCCACTAACATATGGCAGGATACCGTGAGCTTGGCCTGGGCCTCAACTATAAAATATTACCTGTATGTTCCTTAATATTTCCTCCTTTGTATAATATATCTCCAGTAATTTCCGTCGTACAAAATAACACAAATGATTAATGAAAAAATATTACAGTTTCGGTTTTACCATTGAGTGTTATGACGTCATGAACACAGTGTCCCACAGTTGATTGTGCATTCTTAAAATAGGTTTCATTACATACAATATACTGTACACACGGCCCAGGAGGACGTAAATAATATTCCTCTTTTGAGATACGTACTTCACTGATATTGTCAGATGACCACAACATTCCACATCAGTGACAAATGTTAAACTAAACATTATAGTCGCTATCTAGGATTTGGCACACGCTAGAACCTTGGAATCCAATGACACGATCCTTCAAGGTTTCTAGTACGATGTCTTCCTCTCCCCAAATTAACACTGATAAAGTATAAAAGGAAATTTCAAATCTATCACAAGATTTATATAACATAAGAATATACAATAAGCCTTCAGATGATGTAACTTTATTGCACGGTCATAAATCACCTAATTCTATCACCGAAACAAAGGTCGATGAAATTACTAATGCATTAAGTTAACTGGTAGAGTGTCAGCCATGGTAAGTCAACAAAAACTTCAATGTTTCATGTCAAGATGTCATTCACCCTTCCTGATGTCTCACTGACATAGTTTGACTTTCCGCCGATGCTGGTAAATGACATTTTGACACGGGGCGTTGAGGGTCTATGTGACTGTTGGCGGTGCTTGAGAGGCTGGGAGTAAATTGAAACTTAGCCCTTGGTAATGTATACAATTTCCTAATGCATTGTGTTTTTTTTTACTGTATCACTTACTGTACATTTATAAACAAAATTAGAAGCAATTTCTTTGTGTGGATAATATACCTCAGCTACATTATGACTATGTAAAACAGATGGCAGGACTCCATGACCTCGGCTTGGTACTGGGAAATAAAACATTAACTGTATTTCCTCCCCTACAGTATATAATATATCTCCAGCAATTTCCACCATGCTAAATAATACAAATGAATTATGAAGATTTATTACTATTTCGGCTTTACGAGTGACTGTTTTGACGTCCTGAGCACACTGTACCACTGTACCAACAATACACACGGCCCAGGAGGAAGCAAACTATCTTTCTCTCTTGAGATTCGTAATTTACTGATGTTGTCAGGTGCCCACAACAATCCACACCAGAGGTGTTTACGCTGATATTCCTGTGTACATTACAGGTGCAGATATAGTATGACTATGTGCATGATGTGAACTGTTGATTGATTTACTTCATACGGATTCAACTATATTGTTCAAATGTTATATTGAATTTATAATCTATGGCATGAATGTAAAATCATGTACCCTCTAAGTAAATAATTTTAATATAGTTTTAATATATGAGTTGTATGTCAAAGGTTTTAGTGTAAGATATTCTCCAAAACGCATAGACTATATAATATAGGTTATAAAAGTGCCCGCTGAGCTTTTATGACGAGACTAATTATCCTCCAAGAAGTAATTTTCCTGTACTCTGCATTGTATAAAATAATATCTTGGTAAACTTATCAATTCAGGATTTATTATTAATGATGGTTATATGTAAATATTGACTAAAATGAAGAGCACGCAAGTTTAATGCTGCGGATTGTTGCCTTGTGTTATTTTGACAGTTCTCGTGTGATGAATTGCATGTACTATACTGTACGTATAAGACAGAAAAATCACTTAAAATTTTTTTTTTAATTTTCATTAATATTTCATAAATGATAATAATTAAAGGCGACCTCCAAAAAAATCCGATTTCGCTCAAAATAACTTACACGGTCATGGAATTTCAATAGGGCATACAGAATTATATATATTTTTTCAATAATGGATTTGTCCTTAGGGAAGCTCAGACGTATCAGGAAAATTATCACGACTGCGTAGACATGCATCTTTATTTTCAATCATATATTTCGAACAGTATCGCCATCACCAGTGTTACAAAGAAGTAAAGAAGCCATATCAGAGCAAAGATGTCAGTAATTTGAAATTTTGGTAGGCGGAAAGGTGTTGTTCTGTTTCAGAGTGTTCTCTGATGGCAGAGTGATTACGTCTACTAAGTGGATATTGTGTTCGTGATGACACATTTATGTTCGTAAATCCTGTGTTGTAACCACCCAGTTGTGGAGCTAATACACCGAACATTGCAGCTCAAACATGGAATAAGTACACAACACCAGATGTGAGATCAAAAGGTTTCGGTTTTACTCTCTTTAAAAATGAGCCTATGATAAAGTCTTTTATAAAAATAAAATGGAAATCAATATGCAGAAAGGTATCTCTTAAAACAGTTACATAACGTTTTAAAAGAGTTTTACATGAAAATTTATTTTATGTTATATTTTATGATGCTTTGCTGATATTATTTCTTTACTTCTTTGTAGCACTGATGATGAAGATAGTGGTCTTCGAAATGTCTAATTGAAAATAAACATATACTGTATGTCTATAATATATATATATATATATATATATATATATATATATATATATATATATATATATATATATATATATATATATATATATATATATATATATATATATATATATATATATATATATTTATATGCTGATAGTCACATTAGAAAAAAGAAACACGAGGTTCCCAAGCGCCTTCGTAAATTGCATGAAAGCCTATAGTTGGCACGCGTAATTCCCGGTGGATGCTCCCGTTGCTTAAAAAAGTAAGACGAAGGAGCGCCTTAGCTTTCGTCTTTATTCAAGACATCTCCAGAGGCAACTGAATATACACGGACTGAAAAAGGCTTTTATACAAAGGGTGACTTTACATAACATCAGTTCAGGTCAATAGCCTGGGATCCATCTGGAAAAACAGAAAAAAAAATAATAATAAATAAATTTCTTTGGCCATAAAAAACTTGTATAAATTGCCTCTCCAATGCAATCTAGAGGTTGTTTTTATCTTTTATAGAATCTAAGTTATTAATATTTTAAATTGCACCAGGACTTTACGGACGTCCTGTTACAAGGTATATCGCTGGGAGTATAAAAACGTTACCTTCTATGTATTATGAAGGTCTATATAGAGTTAAATCTTAAATAAGACGACAACAGCCATAGTCTTGTTGGATATAATTATGTCCAACAAAAAGTGTGCCTTCTTTAACCCGTTTAACACTGTCGTCACCACCTTCTTTCCCTTCGACCATAACATAAATTATTGATCTATATTTTTATCATTGGTTCTTTGAGTTTTAAGCCGAGGTGGTGTAAGAGTCCTCCCTTCCCCACGTATCCTTGTGATATTATTATATCTCCTTCACGCCACGAGTCATTGCGCCACAAGTTAGCTAACTTCGCGTTCAAGATGGCTGGAACTTTCACTCGTACTCTAGTGGACGGCAAACGAGTCTTCAACAAACGAATGATCTCTTCTCTGTCCATTCGCCATATGCTGTATTATACTTAAGCATTGTTTATCCTCTTTCATATCTTCTGCCCCAACGGTTTGTATTTATTGGAAATACATGTTGGGCTGCACACACATTATATATATATATATATATATATATATATATATATATATATATATATATATATATATATATATATATATATATATATATATATATATATATATATATATATATATATAAATATATATATATATACATATATTACTTTTTTTTACGGGGATTAGCCCAGCTGGGCACAGATCACTGACTCACAAGTCAGAGGGACACAACACAAGCGTGACAAGTGGCAAACTTACCTGGACGTCCTCAGCGTCTATCTCTCAGAGCAGCCTAGACCCACACTAACTCTCCTCAACCCACCTGGAGCAATAACACAAAAATAAGGGTCCGTGGCGCATCACTGCCGAGTGTCACCAAGCTGATATATAATTAAGAATGCTCTTCTATTCCCCAAGATACACTGACATATCTGGGGGCACAGAAAGTCTCTTAGTACTTTTACTCTAAAGTTGTTATTTAATTAATCCTGAATTTTGGGGTATACTAATGGCACTCCGGTCATCAAAATCTCATCACTAAATATCTTTCTTTGCTTTTCATTTAGTTCCAGCTACTTCAGTTTTCTTTATCTTGAATTAAACAAGTCATAGAAACTGTATGAAGCCCTTGACGCAGCCACGGTGAGTGAGATCCTAGTATCACTAAGCCAGAGTCTCTTCCCCGGCCCGGCCAGGTGTACTACACAACATGATCAGGGGAATTTGCATGAATAATAATTAATGAACTAGCGGATGTCTTCATTAATGCCTTCGCTCCCGTTTTCATCATGCCGCAGCTGCTGCCGCCGCCCCTGCCAAGGTATTGTCACGATCCACCAGAAATGCAGCACAAGTTCTGGTTATGATACTGAGAACTGTATTATTATTATTATTATTATTATTATTATTATTATTATTATTATTATTATTATTATTATTATTATTATTATTATTATTATTATTATTATTATTATTATTATTATTATTATTATTATTATTATTATTATTATTATTATTATTATTATTATTATTATTATTATTATTATTATTATTATTATTATTATTATTATTATTATCTTTATTATTATTATTATTATTATTATTATTATTGTTATTATTATTATTATTATTAATTGAAAAGGTTCTCCATATAATGTGAAACTAATTATAAATTCGATCATTAGGCGAGGTACAGCTCGAAAAGACTTCCCATTTGCTAAGGAATAACTTATGTTATGGTCGAGGGGAAAGAAGGTGGTGACGACAGTGCTTAGCGAGTTAAAGAAGGCACATTTTATGTAGGTCATAATTGGAGGCAATTTTTTCATCAACAAAACAAGTAGTATTAGTACTAGTAGTAGTAGTAGTGTGTGGGTGTAAAAAGTGTGTGTGCGTGTGTGTATGTGTGCACAAAAGTCGGTGTAATGTTTCTAGTGTGCAGCATTATGTTATTGTTAAGGTGCAAGCACTGTTTGCTCCCTCTCGCTTTCAGTTACCGCCGTTGGCTAGCCATAGTGATGAACAGAAAATCAACTTTGTGTAAGTCTTCCATGCCAGTACACAGCCTCTTCACCATCAAGACTCCTGCTGTGCTTTCTCGTGACAACATATGGTAACTGAGGGCCTCACGGCTCCAGGTTAGACTTGGAGGGGATCTCGGAGCAGCAATGGGCCCCAGAGGGATGGCGCATAGGCCGACTGGCATGTGGACACGCCCTGGCGCCTACTAACTACTGCTCCGCAGACATGCTTATAGAGCTCCGGTAAGACCCCAACGTCGGTATAGACGGAAGAGGTAACCAACATGGGAACCCAACGACTACACCGGCGGATGAAGGCAGTGCAAGATGGAGAGTACTAAGGCGAAACTCAACAAACAGGGCTGTCGGCAGTCCATAGCTACTCTCCCTCTCCCCAGTCGTTGCAACCATCTGTACCACTAGATTAGGGAAAAGGAGATTTAAGATGTGTGGTTGCAGTCTGCGCTCCTGCCTCGCCACATAAATCAACTCACACGCAGCCATCATCCAACTCATCATACTTCTCGTCATTATGAACAGATGCCGCCAAAAGTCCTATGGCGAGAGACAAGTGAACAAGTGGCGATAGGGACAGGCAGAGATTACTACCGGAAGTCTCTAGTCACAACTCTGCACATGGCAAAGATAAGATGATCGTTTATTCACTAGGATCTAGGCAGCTTTGCAAACTGGTCCTGTTTGTGTGACTGAGCAGCCATTTCCAGAAGCCACTCTGCTCACCCCACATGGGGATGGGTCTAGAAAAGGAATCCTATACATAGCCTACACCGCCCCCCCCCCAAAAAAAAATAAAAACCTTACTGGGTAACCGCACCCAGTCAGGAAATCCTAATTCGGTCGAAAACATAATCATAATCAGAGATCAAATAAAAAACAAATTATACAACTTCTAATGGTCGCTGCATGAAATGTCAGGACCATTCTGGATACTGACACAAATGAGTATCCTGAAAGAAGAACCGCTCCTCTGGCAAAGGAGCCGTCTAGGTATTACTTCGACACAGCAGCCATTAGTGAATCCCGACTCCAAGACGAGGGTCAACTCACAGAACGGGAGTCCAGCTATGCCTTCTTCTGGAAGGGTAAGACTACTGTGGAGAAAAAAAGGATTTATGGATTTGCCTTCGCCATTCGCCAATCCATCCTCAATAGGCTAATTGAAATGTCTATTGGGATCAACGATCGTCTCATGACGCCCCAACACTGGATGCAGAGGATAACATCAAGGAGACCTTTTACGCCTACCTTGACAGAGTGCTAACCTCTACCCCCAGAGAATATTAAGCTGTGCTCCGAGGTGACTTTAATGCCGGAGTTAGCAGAGATGCTGACATATGGCAGGGAAACAGAGGGAGAAACGGAGTAGACAAGTGTAATCCCAATGGCCTGCTCCTTCTCAGCAAATGTGCTGAACACCTCACTATCACCAACACCTTCTTTAGGCAGGCCGACAAGTTCAAGCACTTTTGACAACACTCGCGAACCAAACATTGGCATCTCATTGACTACATTATTGTTAAAGAAAGAAATCGCCGAGATGTCCTCAACACCCTAGACATGCGTGGCTCAGAACCATTGCGACACTGATCATCGGCTCCTCAGAGACAGGCTTTCACTTCAAGTTGCCCCAAAATGGCGAAGGCAGCAAGCCTCCAGAAGAGGTTTTAACACTAAGCGTCTGGAGGTTCCAACGGTAGCACATACTTTCAGAGAGCAGCTCGAACATGGGCTGATAAACACCCCGACAACAAACAATCCAAATCCCAGTGCCGAATGGGGTATTCTTGACACTGTCATGACAAAAAAAATGCAGAAAGACCCGCGGCCAGTCCGAAAGAATACACCAGGACTGGTTTGATGAAATGTAACCGGAAATCAATGTACTCGTCGATGATAAACGTACGGCTTTAACTGACTGGCAGAACAACCCTCATTCCCGGATCAAAGCTGATACCATCCGCAAGAAGAAAGCAGTTACCCAGCGCGAACTTCGCAATTTAAAGAACGACTGGTTTAAAATAAAGCATGTGAAACACAAAAACTTGCAGATTAGCACAAGTTGGGCGAGTTTTTCAATTCCACTAAAACTTTTTATGGGCCAATCACTCATGGCGCAGCCCCCCTCTGCTCATCTGATGGTAACTCCCTAATTGAAGATGAAGAAGGTATCCTCCAGCGCTGGAAATAGCAAAACCATTCACTGCTAAACCGAAACACCGTTGTGGATATCCTGACTACCTAGCAGATCCCTTAGCATTCAGAGCTGACCCACCTCAGCTATCCTCAATCCCTGGATGAAATGGATACTGCCATCAAACAAATAAAAAAAACAAAGCCTCAGGGCCTGATGGAATCCCAGTCGAGGTGTATAAAGCAGGAGGACCTCTGCTTACAAGCCGTCTCCACTTTTCTCCTGGAAAATATATTGGAAAAGGAGGAAATCCACCAAGCTCTTAAAGACGCAGCCATCATCAATATTTATATGAATAAGGAAGACTGGTCAGACTGTGGCAACTACGTCAGGTTCTGGCTGCTGTCCGTAACTGGCAAGGTTATTGCCCGAATCCTACTAAACAGACTTCTTCCTGAGGCAAAAAACTTCCTTCTAGAATGTCAATGTGGCTTTAGACCATCACGTGACACCACTGACATGATCTTTGCTGCCCGCCAGATACAGGAAAAGTGCAGAGAATAGCGTCGTGACTTGTACATTGCCTTCATCAACCTAACCAAAGCCTTCAAGTCGGTCAACAGGGAAGCCCTCTGGTAAACCCTTAGTCATTTTGGCTACCCACAAAAATTCATCGCCATTGTGAGGTAACTCCACGATTGCAAGAATGGCAGTGTCCTGCGCAAAGGCACCCAGTCTGAGTTCTTCCCCATCCAAACAGGGGCACAACAAGGATGTGTACTGGCACCAACTCTCTTTTCCAGTGCAAATTTAGCTTGCAGGGTGGACATGGAGTACGGAACGGAGGGTCTTTTCAACATAAGACGACTCTGGACAATGAATAAAGGTGTCGGCAGCTCCCATTACTGAAATTCAGTATGCAGACGAACACACCTTTGTCGCTCACCCTGAACGCGACCTACAGGAGATCCTGAACACCTACGCTGATGCAGATGCACACTTCGGCCTAGAGGTGAATGTATGTGAGACTCAGATTCTCTTTCATACTGCCCCTGGTTCAGCCACACCTCCTCCATCCATCCGACTTAACGGTACTACCCTCTCTAATGTTACCTAATTTCGGGACCTCGGCTCCTACCTGTCCACCACTGCGGACATCGATGAAGAGATTCAACATCGGATCAGATGTGCATTTCAAGCCTTTGGCAGATTCCGTACCCACGTCTTCACCTGTAGGGAGCAGAAATTATCTACGAAGTTGCACGTATATCGAGCAGTGGTCCTCCCCGCCCTGCTATATGGCAGCACGACATGGGTTACATACAAGAGGCACCCCAAGGCACTTGAAAACTTTCACCAACGTAGACTATGTTCCATCCTCCGAGTTCGATGGAAAGACAAGAGAACAAATGCCAATATTCTCGCTGATACTAACTGTAAGAGCATGGCCAGTCCAGCATAGTTGTTCATGGATAATGGTAGCCTTTAACATTATCCATGAACAACTATGCTGGACTGGCCATGTTACCCTCATGGACGACAATACACTGCCAAAGCAGCTACTTTGCAGTCACCTAACGAACAGTAAACGTAACACCGATTAGCAATTGAAAATGCATCAGGATAGTCTTAA